TCAAATCCTGCAGAGACTTACGTACCCTGAGCCATGGCATTTATGGTACGGCTCTGGTTATCCCTGGGGCAAATAGCCCGAAGTAGGTACTATTTGTAGACTTTAGACCCCAAAGTAGGTACTGTTTGTATACTTGGAGCCCTAGGGTATGGATAACTTAATGAAGACGTTCTGTCCAGCAGCAGTACGACTGGAGTCTTTGGCACGGAGGGAGTAGTGAAGGAATGGCGGGCCTAGGACTTCGCATGGCGGCTTAGGATTAGGACTCAAGGGGCCCGGAAGCGCGAGGGTAGAGGGGGTTTAGGGTTTCGGGTTTAGGGCATCAAGGGTTGAGGGTTTAGGGTTTAGGGCAAACCTCAAACACCCAATCGGCGGAAGAATTTCGCATGGTTCGGTGGTAATGGTTGCCATCCACCTAACGAGATCATTGCATCATGGTGCAAAGGAATGAATGTGTACAAAAAACGATGGTGACTGCAACCTGTGACAATCGCAGAACCCTGAGGCGTAGCAGCCTTCAAGCATCCAAGTGTCTCAGCCCTACACCGGAAGCCCTAAACTCTAAACTCCCCAAACCCTAAACTGTCAACCCTGAACCCTAATAAACTCTACACCCTCAACCTTAAGCTCCAAGTCTGTAAACCCTAAACCTAACAACTCCTGAGCCAGACCTTGACCCTTTCTTGCTAAGCCCACACTCTCTGAACCTTAGATATCCCATCCAAACTAAGCTCCACACCTTAAACGCAACGGTTCTTGGCCCCTAAACCCAAACCCTGAACTTTATTATATAAGATTTAGGGTTGAGGGCTTTGGCGCCGCAAACTCTAAACCCCTAGGCTTGATCATGTCAGCACGCACAGGATCATGAGGGCGCTGCAGTGCCGCATGGTGCAGAGGTCAGCAAGAGTCATCCTAGGTAATGCAGAGGCCTAATAATTAGAATAGGGTTCGGGGTATATATTTTCCTATAATTAGCATAAGGACCCCCCCAAAATAATGTAGGTAATTATGGAGGCCCCTACATTAGCCACTTCCCCAGAATGATAGTCTTTGGGTCTGAGTATATCTACTCGAAGGCTAGAGTTTTTTTGGGGTTTTTGCGCGCTGTAGGTTAAAAAAAGGTGCAGGGTTTACAAAGGCACGACAAGGCTTATGATGGCGCTGGGGGCTTGACTTTAGCATAGGCTCACAGTTTAAGGCGGCATATGCGCAACGGGTCATTCGTGATGTTAGATCGGGAGTTCGGAGATTCAGGCTAAATTTTCCAGAAAAGAGGGCAAGGCCACTTCTTGCAGTTCTATCTAACATCTGAAGCCCGAGAATCTGAAGCTAGTGTGGGAATCGCAGCTAGCACATAGTTGCATGGTGCAAGCCCAGTTCCAAAGGACTGCGGAAAGCAAGATTATGCTACTCTTACCTCTCATCCCACTCCCACTCCCACTCCGACTCCCGCGCTCCAATGCCGACACCTACACCTACTGCTGCTGCTACTACATATTCTTACGATGACTACGACAACGACTACCACTACGCCTAGCCCTAGTACTGCAACTACCGCCAAAACCACCACCAACAGCAACACCACCACGATGACGATTGCTACTCCTTCTGCTTGTCCTACTGACCAGTGGCTACACAACTTCACAATCCTTCACTGCGGTTGCTGCACCGACCACCCTGGGTGTAAATCTTCAGAGGGTTTTGAGTTGTGGAATATGTTTTCCCTAAGCCCTAAACCCAAACCCCTAAACCCTCTATTACTTGACAGGGACGTAGTTATGCCTGAGGGTTCCCTGATCCTTCAAGTACACCCCGGATGGGATCTTCACGGCGCGGCTGAGCAGAAGGCACCTTGAATCAGACGAACCCTGAACCCAAATCCCTCATCCCCAAACCCTAAACCCTCAAACC